TGTGATTCTCCTGCCTAAGCCTCATAAGTAGCTAGGATTACAGGTGCCTGGCTTTATATTTCATTTTTGTTTGCTACTAATAAATAGAAATACAATTGATTCTTTTTTGTTTGTTTTTTGGGTTTTTTTTTCTTTTTGGTACCGGGGATTGAACTCAGGAACTTGCACTTTCAAGGCAGGTAAATCCGCAGCCCCAGTTGATTCTTGTATATTTACATTATATTCTAAGGTCCAGATAAATTCAATGATGAGTTCTAGTAAATTTTTATTGGTTCCTTAAGATTTTTATGTAAATAATTCTATCACCTATGAATATGAACAGCTTTACTTCTTCCATTCCAATCTTTATGCCTCTTTTCTTGCCTAATCTCTGGCTAAGGGCTTTAGTACAGTAGTCAAAGTGGTTATTCTTGATTTGTTTGCAATCCGAGGAGGATGGCAATCAGCAGTTATCATTCCAGTATGAAATGACATAATGAATACATCATTTCAAATAGTAGAAATTTTGAGGGGGGAATTTGAGAGTCCCCCTTTGTAGGGTCTCACTTTGTAGTTCAGGCTGGCCCTGAACTCATTATGTAGCCCAGGCTAGCCTTGAACTCTCGGCGATCCTCCTGCCTCTGCCTTCTGAGTGCTGGGATCACAGGCATTCGCCACCACACCCAGTTCAAATAAGGGAAATATTACTTCTTCCTTTCTAACTTGTATTTTTCCTTTTCTTGCATTAATGCACAGACCAGTTCCACACAGTGTTGTATCAGAGTGGTGACAGTGAAAGTCCTTGCCTTGTTTGCAGACTTAGAGGGAAGCATTCAAACTTTTCATCATGAAATCTGATGTTAGTTGGAGGTAGCTCATAGACACCTTTTACTATGGTCAGGAAAGTTCCCCTCTACTCCTCATTTTCTGAGTGTTTCTATTATTTTTTGTTTGGTTGGTTTTTTGTTTTTGTTTTGTTTCAGTTTTTGGTTTTTTGAGACAGGGTCTCACTACGTAGTTCAGCTTGGTCTTGAACCTCACTATGTAACCTAGGCTGGCCTCAAACTCGCTATGATCCTCCTGCCTGGGCCTCCTGAGTGCTGGGATTATAGGATGTTGACTATTGCCAAATGTTTGCCCTGCATCCACTGAAATAATTGTATGTTGATGTCGTTGTATTAGTCTGTTAATATGATGACTTACACTGATTTCTGAATATCAAACCAACCCTGCATTCTTGGGTTAAGCCTCATTTAGTCGTGAGATGTTATCCTTTTATATACAGTGGATCCTTGACTTAAGAACTCAATCATTTCCTGAGGGCTTGTTGTAACTAAGTCAATACAGCTGAGATCTGGATGTTTACTTGGGTACATGCTATAGAAAACAAGAGGCAAATGAATCTTCCATTAACCTAATTAACCCAAGTTCGTATGTCAGGCCAGTTGTAACTGAGGGTCCACTGTATTATTGAATTTGATTTGCTTATTTTGGTTAAGGACTTTTGTGTCTATATTCATGAATAATGTGGCCTATGGTTTTCTTTCAATATCATTGTCAGGGTTTGGGCAAATTCCTCCAGAACAAGAAACTGTTTCTTCTTCCTCTATTTTCTAAACAATTTTGTGTCGTATCTTTCTTGAATGGTTGATAGAATTCACCAGAGAAAATCATCCAAGGCTAGGTTTTCTTCCTGAGAAAGATCAATTTCAGCCAGGTGCAATGATGCACACCTGTAATCTCAGGTATTAGGGGGCTGAGGCAGGAGGATCCCAACCCGGAGGCCAGCCTGGGCAACTTAGTGAGACCATGTCTCAAAATGAAATAAAAAATGTGCTAAGAATACAGCTCAGTGGTAAAACACTGGAGCTCAGTCCTCAGTACCAAACACACACACACACACACACACACACACACACAATAAAAAATGAAAATAAGAAAAACAATAAAATAACTAAAATAAGCAATAGATTAAAGTTTGATACCTCCTATGAGGGAAAACAGTACGAAAAGAAACAGGAGCCATAGAGTAGGTGTAGGAGTTTGCAATTTTAAATAGAATGGTCAGAGAAAGCCTCTTGGAATGGTGACTCGAGTCAAGGCAGGAAGAATGCACACAGAAGCCTTTGCTGCCTGGGGGAAAAATATGAATTTATTTGATGTACATATAGTATTATTTTTATATATAGTTTGTGTGTGCATGTATGCTTTTTTTTGCAGATTTTCTATTCAACCTGCATCAGTTTGGCAAGATAAGTTTTTCTATTTTATCTAAGTTGTTGAATAAAGTTGTTTGTAAAATTACTTTATATTTCAGATGTCTGTAGGATCTCTATTCCATTAATGATATGGGTAATTTGTTTTCTTTTTCTTTCCTTTTTTCTTCCTTCCTTTCCTTTTTCCTTCTTCCTCCTCTCTCTTTCTCTGTCTCTGTTAGGGGATTGAACCCAGGGTCCCCTACAAGTAGCAAGTGTTCTACCACTGAGCTACACCCCAAAGCCTGTTTCTATTTTATGAATTTATATCCCTATATTTATTATTTCCTTCCCCCCTTTTTTTTTCTTTTCTAGAACTGGGGATGGAACTCAGGACCTTGCACTTGCAAGCCAGATGGAGTCCCACTGAGCTAAATCCCCACTGAACTAAATCTCCAGCCCCTCCCCCTCTTACTTTTGAGTTTCACTTGCTCATCCATTTCTGGCTTCTCTAAATAGTACAAATGGCCATAAGAGGGGCCATAGGAGTGGAGCTGCTTTTTCTGGGTTTTTGTTTTTATTATTTTGGCAGTGCTGGGAATCAAATCCAGGCTTTCACACATGCTAGGCAAGCACTCTACTACTAAACTACGTCCTCAGCCCTGAGCTGCTTCTTGCAATTATTAATAATCTGGGTTTCTTCAGTGTCCCCTGTTGCCTCTTTAGCCCTCCAATATTTGTATGATCTACTGTCTGCATTAAATATATAGTATGGTTTTTGTTTTCCTGATTGGACTCTACTATATGTATAAACTAGAATTTCTTAAAAGTTCATACCCACCCCCACCAAATTAGTTGTTTGATATATTCATGGGTACAGTGACCTAATGGGTTTGGAAAATGCTCCATACTATATTTCCTGTTTTGAAGATTCTCACTGCACATTGCACATATTAAGTCAGGGGCAGATTACTGTATAGCAAATATTCATTGCTTCTCCTCACATCTGTGGGAAAAGCATGGCTCCCTGACCCACTAATTTGGATCTGGCCACGTAACCTGCTTTGGCCGACTGAATGTGGGTGGAAGTAATAGGGTGCCAGTGTAGACCTTCAGTGGTCTTGGATTTCTAATTGCCACACCACAAGCTTCTCATCTCTGCCTCTCTCTAATCTACCTCAAGCCAAGTGGGACAGATCTGAATTCAATACCTGCCCTGGGGCAGAACAGCCCTCCCAGATCTACAGATTTGTAAGCAAAAAACAGTTTGTGCTGTACAGCACTGTGACTTTGGGGTGCTTATTATGCAGCAAGAGCTGATTAATGCAAGGTTCTAAGAAGCCTGCAATAAGTGTATGTAGCATTGTGCAGCTTTCCATTTCCCTAAACTTCTCTGACCCCAGAATCTTACCTGTATTTCATAGAAAGCACTGGTCAATAGTGATAAAACAAACCACTTGATAGAGATTATACTCAAATAAAATGATCGGAATTTGGAAAAGAGGAATTCCTTACAATACTATTTGTTACCTAAACAATAGTCATGCACTTCTTAAAATTCTGAGTATACAAAAAAAGGTTTAAGATTTATCATATAAATTATACCTACTACTTTTCTTCTTCTTTTTTTTTGGTGGTACCGGGGATCGAACTCAGGTCCTTGCACTTTCAAAGCAGGCGGCGGAACCACTGAGCTAAATCTGCGGCCCCCCTACTACTTTTTTTCTTGGGGGCACCAGCTTAATCTGGTGTACTGAGAAAGGATGGAGAAACTGAAGCATTTCAGTATACTTTGGACTTTATATAACTGTAACTTTATTCCTTTTTTTTTTTTTTTTCCCAGTACCTGGTATTGAACTCAGGACCTTGTGCTTTTGAGGCTGGTGTGGCACCATTGAGCTACTATACCACTGAGCCCTATAGCTTTATTCTTAAACATTGTAAATATTTTTCCTTTAAAACCTTGGAACTGCTGATTACCCAATTCATTTTATGGAAATTTATACCATATAAACAAATTGGCAAAATGAGCCCTTATTGCTATCTCAATCAACTGAATTAGGCTTAATTTCTATTAAAAAGAAACTGGGCGCTGGGGGTATGGCTCAGTGGTGGTGCTCAAACTTAGCTCATACAAGGCTCCATTCATTCCTCCCACTTCGGAGGCAGGAGGGAGGAAGGGAGACATCAAATAAACAGCGTCATCACTCCCAGGACTCACTTTGCAAGAACCTAGCCTGGCCAACCTCACTACACTACTGCCGTAGTCCACCCTAACTTGGAACAGCCTTCAGTGGAGGCCGCCCACAGACACTGAGCCCACCAGTGGATCCAGGAGTGGGCTCTGGTGTCCTTCTTGTCTACTGCCTGCCAGTTTTCCAGCCCAGAGCCATGTCCCACAGTAAAGTCAAGCTGGGTAGACTAAGGCACACACTTGTGTAAAGCAGAAATTGGACCTGAAAGCAGAGGCAGGAGGACACCGCCTGACTTCTCCAGTTCCAGCTGCATTTCCAGGCAGCCCCATTTTGGGAAAGAGTGGGGCTGGGGTTGTAGCTCAGTGGGAAAGCACTTGCCTGTCGGCACAAGGCCTGGGGTTCAACCCCCAGCACTGGGGGGAAAGAAAAGGAATTTAAGGAAAAACTAAATATAAAATCTTGGAACAAATTCTCTTAAAACTATCTGTATCCAGGTACCACTTGGAAAATCTCACACCTGCAAACATAACATTGTTAAATATTATCCTAAAATTCCTCAAGATAAGGAAAATTTTGCTGAACCAAACATTAAAATCTTACTTTAAAAAAAGGGAAGCATCTCTGTTTTATGTTTTAGATAATTTATTGTTAAATGGAGAAGTCACAAAGCAAAATGGAATGGGACAGATGTCAAAGATAAATTTAAAACACACTTTTGTCCAATACTATTCTGGATTTCCTAAGGTTGGAAACAAGAAAAATGTCAAAGGACAAGATATTCATTCAAATTAAAGTCTTTGTAAAAGTCTGTGATTTGAAAGGAAACAGTTTTTCTCTGAAAATACAAATTATCCTTATTACATGAAAGGCATAATTTAAGAGACCAAGAGAAAAAAAACCTTTTTAATTAACAAATAAACTGTATCTCTCACACATAAGTGGGAATGTTTCTTTTGGATCAGTGAGTTTTCAAATTCACCACTTCCACCCTGTAAACTAATAATTCACTATCGCCTGAAGACATCTCATCCTCACAGAGTGTCCCATTACACCTCCACATCTTCCATTTCCACAACTTGGCAAAGCAGGTTTGGAGAAAATGAAACAATTAGAAAGAACTCCAGCGGGTTCCCTAGTGAATAACTTAACAGAATAAAACCTGCTTCTCCATTTGCGTGACACATCCACCATCATCCACTTCTACTTACTTTACTGGTAAGAGTTCAGGTTTTTTCCACACCTAGAATGATTTGCCTGAACTTTAACATAATCCCTCTAAGACAAAAATTCAAAATAAAACAAAACAAAATCCCCCAAACTCCCAAGGACAACTCGAATGCTGCTGTGCTCAGAGAGCACATTCTCTCTACGGCCACACTGGCCAGAGTGGGGTCCCGAGCTCATCCAAGTGTTCCTCTCCACTGGGACAGAGCAATGCCTCTGGAATTCCCCTAAAGTGATTTTAAAATTACACTTAACACTTCATGACATTAGGAAATCAAATAGAAAAATCTACTTTTACTAATAGACCCTGTGAGATCTGCTCTTCCAAAGGCACTTGTCGCTCTGTCCACGACCCAGGAGACAACAGGGTCCCAGGGCGACCCCCTTGCTGGGTGCCTATTGAGATGCACCCTGCCAAACCCAGCTACATACAAAGAGAAGTGTCCTGTCCATTAGGAACACAACACTGTTGTCTCCAGAGCACCCCAGACAAAGGTGGCTCTCCCGGCCCCCAGGAACTCTCCGAGAGCCATTATGATCCCACCTGCTTTCATCCGAACAAAAGCCCTTGCTATGGCTCCAGGGGACCCAGACAGCTTTCAATTCTGATTTCAGAGAAGATGGAAGCCATCCACAGAAACCTGGAGATAAAGCAGGACGCTGGACTTACAACCCTCTGTAACCCACTTGTCATCATTTAGATGCATTCAAAGGAAATATGTACGCTTTTTTTCCAAACCTGGAAAAAAGTCCACCTACCACTTCCTTTACCCAGGCACCATAGGGATTGGCAGGAGGGCCTAAGAAGCAAGGGCTGGGGCTGAGGCTGGTGGGAGGCCGTGAGCAGGGAGCAGCCTGGTCCACACCTGCTCAGCAGCAGCGTCTCTATTGCTGCCGCCGCTAGTTAAGCTGCGCTCACACATTTGCCTCGGGAACATCTTCAGTTCACATCTGGCTCCACAATTCTCACTTCCACGTATACAGTGGTAGAAAGGAAACGTCCACCGCTGCTGTAGTGGCCAAGTTGTGCTGGCTGAATTATACCACCATTCCCTATTCTGAACTCAGCCTGAGGGGGGGTGGTTAGAATCCTTGGTTTTTGGACTTTTGGATTAGATACAATCCTTCTACAATTTTAACACCACGAAAGTCCTAAAAAAACCGAGTCCATCCAGATACTTAATCACGATGACTGGAGCACCAGAAACATCTATTCACCTCTTCCTGAGGGCAGGGGGTCTTAGGTGTGGCTGTCCAAAATGGAAACCTCCCTGATAAGAGTCCCAAAAAGTATTTTTTCCAAGGCATTCTTTTAAAATGCCGTCTCTGCTACATTCTGCCTCATGAAAACATAGGAAAGTATTTTGAAAACCCAAAATACCTATCAAGAGTTACACAAGCCTACAGAGACGTTAACCAGATGCCAAGCGTGCAAGGGCTGAGCCAAAGCCCGTGCCTGGAACGCACCTGCTGGGGAGTGGGACGGAAGCCACTGCTCCCAAACAGGGCCATCGGTCCTCTTGACCAGCTGAAGCAGGCAACAACACAAGGAGCCTTTATTTTTTTCCCAAAGGCATCTCAGACTGTGGTTTGGGGTTTTTTGATATCATGAAAAAGATCTAGAGAATTCCAAGAGTTTTAGTTAACAGGAAATACAAATAGAAGTAGAAATAAAAATGGAATGGAACTCAATTCTCCACAGATTGAACACATATGGGTGTTACAATTTCCTGACTTAGCTCTACCCTTGCAGCAGTGAAGACTTCTGTGGCTGAAATTTCTTACAGCCCACTTTTCCCACAGCAAAGACTTTTCCAGGCATTCTTCACACACATGACCAGTGGAGGGAGAGCTCATCCACCACGTGCACCCTGATCGCATTTGCCGTTCTCCTTTTGCTCTAGTCATCTTTTTATTTTCTCATCAAACGAAGACTTTGGGGAAACTTTGCAGCAGCAAACCAGGAAAAGTACTCCCTTTGAAGATAATTTGAAAATTTAAAAACAAAACCAAGTATCTCAATAACTATAAGATGCAGTGATTTTTTTTTTCTTTTTCCCCAAACTGGGCTCAGAGGTATCTCCACGTTAGACTCCTCTAGGGCTGGAATGATGTGCAAGGCCTACATGGGTGGTCTGGGAACCAGGGCAGAAAGCCAACAGCTGGTCCACCCCAACCAGCCCTCGCAAGTCAGCATTCATCCGAGAGGCAGTCGCTGCCCAGGAACTCGGTGGCCTCAAGCTCCACGCTGGACAGAAACCTCCTCAGCTTCTTGTGGCAGTTGTAATCCAGGGTGGTGGTGTAGACGGTCTTGGGGTACTTGGGGTAGACGATAGTGGTGCTGAGGAAGCGTGTGGGCTTGTGGCGGGGCTCAAAGCGCACCTCAGCTTTGTAGTTGCGCCATGTGCAATTAGGGATGCAGATGACCGTCTGGCTGCAGGAGGCCACTGCCAGGCCCAGGGGCAACTGCACATCATCGATGAAGTGGCGCTCAGAGTCATACTTGACTGAAGAAGTGTACCTGGGGGAGACATCAAGCAGAATGAAGCCGCTTCTCAGACCCAGGGGGATGCGGAAAGGGTATGGGTGCCTGTGACTTTGAGTCTCTAGTGGGGTGTAAATATCGAAATGTGGCTACGCCACTGAGAAGTACGATAGAGGTGAAGTACTTACTCTGTGCAAGATACAACCATTCTAAGTACTTTTATCACAGAATCAAATTCAGTCTTCTCCACAATCCTGGGAGGGGAAAGTGAGTGGCAGAGACAAAAGTCATGGTGCCACTGGGTGGCAGAGATGGGATTTATTCATATGTGATGCTGGGAATGGAACGCACGGCCCTGTACATGCTGGGCAAGTGCTCTACCACAGAGTTACACGCCAGTCATGAGCTGGGGTTGAAGTGCATCGAGCAGGATTCCACAGTTTATCCTGCACTCATTTCTCACCGCAGCCTGCAGTCCCTAGATTCTCCTCCCATTTACTTAAGCAAGCGGCCTTAATCAGGTGTTTCCTCTTTCTGTAAAGTGTGCCCCATCCTAATCGAGCAGAATGTCAACACACAGTAATTACTGTCATGGGTCCCATCACAATGTTCTGGCTGACAGGCCAAAACCTACAGTGGCAGTCCCACAGGATTACATGGCCTAGTGACACTGTAGTCTTCTCAGCTGTGTGCATGCCCTCCATGGTGTTCACAGAAAGACAAAATCCATCACCTAACACCACACTGCTCTGAATATGCCTCTGTCATCAAGCGACATGTGACTGTACTGCAGAATGGGGTAGATTCTCCTCTGTGATGGCAGCTTGTCTGTTCCCTCAAGTGACCAAGCAGCTCTTTAATGAAAGAGGGAAGAAACCCAGAAACCCTGAGTGCTGACCCTGGAAGCTTGGCTGTACCCAGTCCTAGCATCTCGTCTACCTTGGTCTTTGGTTTGGACCTCTCCCAAACCCTGGGACTCGGGGACCTGACCTTTATCACTGAAAGCCAATTATAATCTTTCTTTTTTTGGTACCAGGGATCGAACTCAGGTCCTTGCGCTTGTGCAGCAGAAGCCAACTATAATCTTGTTTTTGGTACCGGGGATTGAACTTGGGACCTTGCGCTTGCGCGGCAGGCGCCAGAACCACTGAGCTAAATCCCCGGCCTCCAGAAGCCAATTATAATCTTGATTTCCATAAAATAAGTTATCATTTATGTTCTTCAGCTACTTTTTTTTAAAGACCTTTGGTAATTTAGGAGTTCATTTTTCCTGGAAGCAAAGAAGCACTTTACTACACTATGATTGCAGCTCTACAGATACTAAAATAGGCTCAAGCATCATATAGAGACGCAGCTAACAGCTGCTACCCCTAGTCAGGTAAGAACCAGCATTGTTCTGGGAGTCCGGTTGGGATGTCTGTTCTCCTTGGGCAGGTAGCAAAGAAGCTGATGGAAACTAATGTTATAAAGTCACATCCTTGTTTTGTTAGAAATATAAGCTCCAGGGCTGGGGATTTAGCTCAGTGGTTCCGCTGCCTGCCTCACAAGCGGAAGGACCTGAGTTCAATCCCCGGTACTGAAAAAAAAAAAAAGAAAAAAAAGAAATACAAACTCCACAGGGATAAAAGGCAAAACTGCTCACCTCCAAACCCATAAACCTCTCTTTGTTCCACATCAAAGGGCCCTTTGTGTCAACGCTACTGAAACTCCAGCTACAAAACCCCCAGTCACCAAAAGTTACAATTCCTTTCTCTAAAAAGACATAGCTTAAACCTCTCAATGAATCTTTGCCCATGGGTAATCCTCAATGAGATCATTCTCAGAGGAAGACTAGAACTTGTCCCATGACAATATAGCATGAGACAAGGTTACAGGACCTTGAAAAGGGGACTAGGTGGGGAGCTCCTAGAAAGAAGAATCAATAGTCAATAAAAACTTTAGTATCTGATGGCCATGATATCTGAAATATATAAAGTTGCAGTACTTCACATATCACATGACCTCATTTTCACTTTAAAAAGAGTTATTTGTGCATACCTACTATCCCAATCCCAGAAGTCAAGAGGCTGAGGCAGGAAGATCACAAGTTCACGGTTAGCCTGGGTTACACAGTAAGACTCTATCTCAAAACACAAAGAAACAAATGGAAAACAATCTGAAAGAGTACCCACCAAACTATAGTCTTTGGCATATTTCCACAATTAGCTATTTTTTAAAATAAGCCATCACGACTAGAATCGAAAGTGAAAATTTAGGGATGGGGATTTAGCTCAGTGGCTCCACGCTTGCCTCGAAAGCGCAAGGTCCTGAGTTTGATCCCTGGTACTGGGGGAAAAAAAAGAATGGTAAGAAAGTAAAAATTTAAGAAATAAAATCAGATCTGCTATATTTACCTTACTTCTTTTGGTGGTAAGGGGTCAAACTCCACTCCTTCTCCAAAGGACAGGGGGCAAAGCCTCGGTGAGCAGCTGGCAGCCAGGGTGTTGGGGAGAGATGCTGTGTTCTTCCAGGACAAAGAAGAGGGTGGTTAGAGCTATTACAAGTTCATGGGTGTCCTGCATCCCGGGAACACCTGGGAAAGGCTGACCCTCGGCATGGGAAGCGCACTGGGCAGGGAGCCACAAGGCCCGGGTTCAAATCCCAGGTGGATCCTGAATGCACTCCGTGCCCTCAGAAGTCACACTGTATCCTTCCGTGACCTTATCTGCACACAGGCAGAGGAGTGCCCCTCCTGTCACTGCAGTTTTGTGAAAGGCAGAAAAGAGGAAACAGACTCCATCTCAGCATCAGGATGGTGGCCAGACCCAGGGGCCATCAAACAACAGCAGAAACCAGGTAAGAAAAACCGGATGAACCAGAGCCTAACACTCCAGATCCCTCAATTATACGGCACGCACCCCCTGTCACTGTCTCTGCAACACTCTAGAAACACCAAACTGAAGGAAATGCTACCAGGGTTTTTTTTGTTTGGGATTTTTTGGTACTGGGGATCAAACTCGGGACCTTGCACTTGGTGGTGGAAACACTGAGCTAAATCCCTGGGCCCAACCAGGAGATTTTTGAAATCAAAGATTCGGCACACTCTCTCCACCCACTTTGCCTCTAGGGCAAATCTACACCCAGGCAAGATTTGAATCCCACAACTCAGAGTCTTCTTGGGTAAGAGGAACAGGGAGTTGTCTACATCTCCCTCCGCTATGCAGAAAAGGGGCCCAGAGCACAGCCTACTGAAGGGTAGCCATCCCCAGCCCGATAAAGGCACAGGTGCTCTGACTCATCATGAGGCTCATTAGGAGATGGTTCCATCCTGACTGCCCCATTTTCAGAAATCCTGGCTTCTGGGATCAATATGATCCGTGATAAACACAGTGCTGTTTGACCTCAGCAGACCTTTGTGTTCCCTGGTTTTCTGGGATCTGTCATTTTCTTTGCCTAATTTGAGACAAAGTTCTACATTGGGCTAGAATGTAGAGGTGGTAGCCCCACATCCAACCCAGGTCTTCCAGGACAGAGAAAGAGGCAAACACTTCTAGAAGACTGGCCATGAAACCTGTACTGTTTGACCAGAAAAAGGTGTGGAGTTGGGGCGGTGCATAACAATGCAAAACCCTAAGGGGACTAACACAGGGAGAGGCAGAGAGGGTCCTAGAGATCAAGCTCCGGGCATGGGTGGAGAGTTCAGTAAGCCCAGGCAGGCAAAAGAAGTGGGCTCAAACCAAGATCAGTGGATGAAAGGAGATGTACAAGGTGTGGCCTCCAAACTGTGATAGTGGGTCTGCTCTGTCCCCAGCTCCTGGGCTGCCAGAGATCCTTCAAAAGCAGAAACACTTCCGAGGCAGTCCTGTGGGGATGTGATGACCTGGCCACACGAGGTGGCTGCAATCTAACACTCACACAATGGCTTTCTGCACAAGCTCCCCTTGTCCCACCTTCTCTGTTCTTTCATTCCTAACCATCTGACAAATCCTTCCTGAGCATCCAGGTGTGGGATGGTGATGGGTTGGCCGGAAGAGGTTATGACAGATCCATGCACAAAATGCCACTGGGGAAAGGAGAAGAAGCCACAGGCTCTGTAAAGCATCACCTCTTCCCGGAAGAAGTGGCATGAGTTGGTTATCAAAGGGAGTCAGCAAAGCCTTTGGTGGGAGGTAAGAGGCAATGTGCTTGCCAGGTGGAGGGAGCCACACCAAAGGCACCATTGTGTAAGGGTAGTGCGTGCTAGGGCAGGTGGAAGATGAAGCTAGGAAGGACCAGATGGAGAAAGCTCTGAAGACCAAGTTTCGGCAAGCACTGCCCTATAAGAAGTCATACTGATGCCTGCCAAGAGACAGGGTCAGTGGGTCAAGAAGGCTACCACATCAAAGCTCCAGTTTGGATTCTTAGCACTGCCACCACTTACTTGGGCAGGGGGCAATACCCACCCCCTAAGCTCCACTTTGAGCCCATCCTCCTTCGAGCTTTGACTGGATGTGGCCTCCCCTGAGCTCTGAGTAAAGCTAACAAACCCCAACATCTGAACCATTCCTAAGGCAAAACAGATTTGGTGGTTTTTAAAAAAGTTTTTTAAGTTTTAAAATAAAAGGATAAATAGTTTTAAAATTCCAGCCATCTGAAGGCCTCCCAACCACTAAGTCCAGGTGACTCACCAGGTTAGGTGTTCGGGACAACGGGGACCACTAGGAGGCTGGGCCATGGGGTGGCTCAAAGGTCCCCAAAGGCTGGCCCGTTTGCTCTCTGAATAGGGGAGCCCTGAGCACATCCCCTTTTCCGATCTGCCAGGAGGAGGCAGGTCAGCTGGAGCAGCTGCCCGCTACGGGCAAAGCTGCAGAATGTTGGGCCCAAGGGAGGGGGAGGGGGAAGCTGGGGCTCCCCTTGGTGTCCCGGGTGCCCCACCCACCCCGCCTGGGCAGGAATGCGGTCGAGCCGCAGCCAGGCAGCCCCGGGGGCCGCCACCTCGAAGGGAGGAGACGGCGGCTCGCCTCTCCCAGGGCTCCCGCGCCTCCCAGGCGATGACAATTTTCCAGCCACCGGCTCCAGCTGGCCAAGGCTCTCGCTGAGCTCCCGCCCCGAGATGCCGGCGATGGCCACGCCGTCCCGACTGGCGGGTGGTGGCACACATAGCGCGCCCCGGGTCGGGGGGCTCCCCCGGGACCAGCCGCGAGTGGGCGGAAGAGGAACGAAGTCGGGGGGGGGGCACTCACCGGGACCGCAGGGGTCGCCGCCGCGTCGGGCTCCAGCACGCCGGGGGGCGGAGCGCGGTCCCCGCCGCCCCCCCCGCCGCCCCCAGCGGCCGCGAGCCCCCAGTGGCTGGGGCTCGGGCTCGGGGGGAGCCCCGAGTCCGGACTGTCCAGGACGCCGTCGCCTTTCTTCTTCGCGTCCACGAGCTCAGGGACATCCTGCAAGCTCAGCCGGCCCACCATGGCTGTGCGCGTGGCGAGGCCGGCGGCAGCGGCGCGAGGGTCGCGAGCGAACGTCGGGAGCACACGCCGCACCCCGGCCACTGCCCTCCCGGCTGCCCTCCCCACCCCGCAACCCGCGCGCGGCCCGGGTCTCGGCCCCGCCCTCCTCCCCGCCCCTCCCGGTCAGCCCCTCCCCTCCCGGTCAGCCCCGCCCACCCACGCTGGCCGTGCCACCAGCCCGGGCGCTAGGGGCCGCTGCGCTCCCGCCGTGCGCCTCCCGCCCTGCGCTAGGGGCACATAACGAGCCTAGCGGCGGGCGGGCCCGGCTCCCCGCAGAAGCCCCTCTCGAGCCCAGGCCCGGGGGACGCGGTGACCCCTTGCCCCTCCCCAGCAGAGCCTGGCAGGCGCTAAAGTCTCCAGAGTTGGCGGTCCAGGGGAGCCAGTCCCAGCCTGCAGGGGCCTAGGGGAGCAAGCAAACAACTGGAAATTATTAATAGTTAATGCTCTTCGTATGGCTCCAGCCGCCTGTTGGCTCAGCAAGGCGAGCTCTGGCGCTCACGTCTGCCTCGGAGGAAAGAGGCCTGCTTGTTACTCCTCGGGGCCCCGGGGGAGGGGGACGCCAATCACTCCCTTGCCTGGGTGCGCAGCTGGACAAGCTGGGACCACACCAGACAGGGAAGCTCTGCGGGGGGCGCAGACGCTGACCTTCAAGATGGACTAGCTCGGGCAAAGCTGCCTGCGGGCTTAGGGGCCAGGGTCCCGCTGGTGGGAGCCATAGCTTTTCACTCGCCGGAACTCTTGGCCCTACCCCCAGCCCCCAGGGGCTCTCTGCTAAAAAAACAAGCTGAGGACATCTCCCCTTCCCTTTGGTTTGACAGAAGTCCTCCCTGACTGGGAACTCATTTTAGTAGTCGCTGGCTGTAGGGCTGGACTGTCACCAACCCAGTGTCTTTTCTCAGACAGATGTCTACCATCAACAAGTATAGGAAGTCACCACCCTTCCTTGGGGGTTCTGGTGGGTGCTCAGCTGGAACCTGGAGCTGAGGCTTCTCTCTGCTAGACCTACACAGCAGGTGCCAGCTCTGAAGAGGGCTGGAACTCTGGGCCAGCGGACTTCCCAGGCTGGATGAGAAGTGGCCTCTGGGCTGTCCCATGATGCCAGCCCCCTCCACATCCTTGCAAAGACAAAGGATATTCGTCCTTGGGGCAGATCTGTTAAAGTCTAGAGCAGGTAGGGCTGGAGTAACTCAGTGGCGCCTGCTTGGCAGGCACAAGGTCTTGTTGGATCTCGCACAGGGGGCAAGGGGGAGTAATGTCTAGAGCAGGTCGATCTGGCAAAGTTCAGTCCTTCTTCCTGTCTGTCCATCACTTTCAGATAAGGAAAGAGAAGGACTTAACTTACCCTAAGTTACACAGCTAGTACAAGGCTATGAACAGGAAGCCACATTCATCCACTCCACAGAAAATAAAATCTACTACATGTCTGTGTGCTGGGAGGTCTGTAGTTCATTCATTCAGTGCATGTGGGAATGGATTACAAAATCCACAATGGACAGTCCTGGACAGATGGCTAGTGCAAGGACATTCTGTGCTACAACACCTCCTGACTCCTGTTGATCCCATCTGCACATCCTAGGCTGCACCTGATGCTGGGCAACAGAGGAGGAATCAAAGTGCTTTCTGGAGTTGTGAAAGGTGGTTTGTCAATAGTGAGAGAACTCGGCTCTCTGGAAGGAATTTGCCTGCCAGATATTTGCAGGTGGATCCTGAGAAGTCTTCCTCAGGCTGGTCAGATTGGGAAAGGTGTCTGGGAAGTTGGCAGTTGCTGGTAATCATCCTGGAAGAGTTGGAGGACAAGACTGAGGGAGCAGAATGCTAGGCAGTGCAGCCATTCTCTAGGTGTGCGTTATTTTGAGGAGCTTGGGCAATATCTCCACCTGGATCTGCTGGAACCGGGAGCCCAGGAGGGGCTGATATTGCCACCTTCTGAGGGTGAATTTGAAACAGCTTAGGTTATCCACATTCTGGTGGTGGATCCATGGAGACATCAAAGCTGCCAACATAAGCAAAGGTACACAAAGCTGCCAACTTTGGAGCATCCAGCAGATCCAGGGGACACCTTTGAGACACTGCTTCCTCACTGGCACTAGGGTCATTAGCAGCTGGCTGGGATTTCACAGGAGTTTCTGGGCCCTGACAGCCATCAAACTGGACTCAATAAGTAGCCAAATGCTGACCTCCATCCTTTGAGAGTTCTGTCTGATTCCCTAAGAATATCCTCCCCCAACTCCTTTAAATGAGACCAGGCTTCCTGAACCCAGGGGACATCCTACAGCCTCAGAACAACTGCCAAGGAACTCCTGAAGCGTGAATTGGCCAATCACCATGGCCTCTTCTCTTCACATATGGTCAGCATTGATACATGCAAAGAATCAGAGGGGCTTGAAGAGGAATCAGTCACAGGCCTGTCACTGATGGAGAAGCAGAGATGGAGAACCACAGCTCCATACAGATTCTCTGGAATCATTCACATGTCCCCCACCATAAGCCACCAAGGCATCCTTCCTGCTCAGGCATCTTCTGGAATGCATGGCATTCCTGGTGGGCTCAAACAGTGAAACTAGCCAACTGCAACCTGCCCAGGAGTTTTTGTAGGTGGGAGAAAAGGATATTTCCTTTGTAATCACCCAAGAACCATGCAACAGAGACCCCTAGCAGTGAGTACAAGTTGCAAACCACTTACCAACATTTTGAGGAACTTTGCTATCTGGTCTCCTCATCATTCTACATGTTATTCCAGGTATTTTCAATGGATGTTGCTTAGAAAAACAAATCAAAGCTTGGGAGAGGTAACTAACCTAATCCTTCATGGTCCAGTTTTGGAGATAGGCCGGCTTCTGAGATATAGCTGGGGTGCCCCTAGAATTCAGGGGTGAATTATGCAAGGTTACATGGCCCAGTGAGACCCTGGAGGCTGCATAGAGACTGGTCTCTTCAAAGCAGTCCTTTCAGAGTGGGCCATCATCCCTAGCCCTGGATCCCAGAGACACCATGTCCTCATAGGACTTAGCTTCTGGCCGAGGCCTCTCCCAGCAGAGCCTAAGAAACAAAAGCTGCCTAAAAATGGATCCTAACCTTGCATTTTTGCTTTTTTCTGCACTTAATTAGGCTGATGCCCAAATGGGAGTTAAGGCAGACAAAAACAGGGAAGGACCCCTCATGATTATTGCTTATTTTTGTAGAACAGCCTGTCTTCACCAAGCCCAGCCAGACAGTGGAATCAAAATGCTCCCAGCGCAGCCTGCTGGCTCATGCCTGTGTCTAGGCACCTTGCAGTTCCTAGATCCCTGGGTCCTGGTTTGTTCTGTGGTCCATAAGGTCAAAGATTTGCCTCACTGTTGAATCAAGTCCCCTCTTTTCTTTTTTGGTACCAGGAATTGAACTCAGGGCCTCATGCTTGCCAGATAGGCCCTATACCACTGAGCTACATCCCGGCCCCTCTTTTGTTTTATATGTCAACCAAATGCTCTAAAAGATACAGAACTTACCTTGTTCCTTATGCATTTGAATAATACAGTTATTATTGACAAAGACTATCAAAAGGACCTGCCCTATTTAATAAAGGACACTGAAAGAAAAAGATGTGCTTTAAGGCAACACAGCCCGCATGAGTGTGTACATGTGGGTCGGTGAGGTCAGAGAATAACCCAGAACTCCTGGGACCCACAGAGATGGCACTGAGCTAAGGGGATATCCAAGCTCTTGTTTGGCAATTTCAGAGCTTAGCAGGCCTTGAGGGATCAGAGAAGCTCCTTTTCTGAGCTTGTGACTGGGAATCACCAGTTGATTGGAGAGATGGGGTCTAGCCCATCCCAGTTGGCAATACTAATCCGGCTGCCAAGCACAGCTGGCGTAGAGTGAGGCCAGTGTCCCTGTGTGAGAAACCCCATAATGCTAGTCACATATGGCTCCACCCTGGAGCCTCCTATTTGTAAGCTAAGAGTTGATTCTCCTAAATGCTCCCTAGTTACACAAAAACGGGCCTTCCTTGAACTCTGCAAAATAAAACCAGATGGGATTTTAAAAAAGAGCCGGGGCACATGGCCTTGTTGGAATCGCCTCAATACACTTGTACTCCTGGCTCCATTCTGCATATTCAGACTGGACAAGGACTTGCAAGTCAGAAAAATAGCCCTTAGTTGAGCAACTGAAATTCAGCACTTTGGCTAAAAGGCAAGATAGAAGGGTGTGCTGTCATTATTCTAAGGAACAAATGGCTGGTCTGTGCTGCTACACTCCAAAGGCAGCCTTGAGAGTCTCCATGGTGCTCTAGGACCACGTGAGGATTTGGATCTTCATGGGCTGCCTGGGAAGAGATGGAGAATAGGAGTGATTGGGGACAGCCAACTTCCTGCATACAGTGAGAGCTGACGCACTGGATCCTTCCCAGGAGCTACAGTCTCACAGGGCGTTCTTCTACCCCCAGTCCAAAGCAGAATACAGCCAGGCTGGAGGCAGTGTGGTTAGCAGCTCCGTGCTGGTGGGAGTTTCTGACCCTCACACACCTTTGAAGAAATGTTTTTCTAGTTTGGGGTCTTTACTGAAAGTTTTCTGGGGTTGGTGAAGTGAGAGACAAGGTACCAAAGAAAACCATGTGTTTCATCTCTTCCTGGGTCATAATGGTCAGGGGTCAACTAGAATTTTATTGCCTCTTGTCCCACTCTTGTGTGGGACCCCCCCCCCCAGTCACTGACAAGTATTTCTAGAAATCTGGGATAGTATCCCTTGCTCATTAATAAATTTGGTCTTATGCATCTTGTGCCTGCTATTAATTTTATCTTCTTTTCCAGCCCCCACTGTCCCAGCCTCTGGTTGTGTGAAAACGCCCCTCTAATAGGCTGTCCTCGCTGACAGATGTCTCCAAGAGGCTTCTAGATCCTGTGTGGAAAGAGGACATCTGAACCTGGGGATGATGGTGGTGCTTGCGTTCAGCTCCACCTGTGACCTCCACCCCACCAGACACACTTTAAACATCATCCAATCCCCATCTTGGCACCTTGCTTTCCAAAGGTGAAGGCAGACTTTGCTACTTCCAAGGAGGTCAGCTAACTTCCTTAGCATTCAGACTGACTGGCTCTCAATCTTCTGGGGT